TTTATTCATAAATATATGTATATATACATTTTATTCATAAATATATGTATATATACCTTTTATTCATAAATATATGTATATATACCTTTTATTCATAAATATATGTATATACTTTTTTATTCATATATATATATATATATATATATATATATATATTTTTTATTCATAAATAAATATATATATATATATATATACTTTTTTTATTCATAAATATATATATATATATAATTTTTATTCATAAATATATGTATATATATGTATATATATTTTTCTTTTATTCACACACACATATATAGCACATATATCACGGCGTATCAGTTTTTTTACTAAGTCTATTAAATTTTAGTAAATAGCGAGAGCTTTGTTGCACCTTGTGACGATCGAAGTCACTTCTACTGATCAACATGTCCTGCATGCTGTAATGTTCAGTCTGTTGGTGGATTACATCGTCGTATATACATAAATAAAGATAATATTCGGTATCCAATTCCAAGTAATGTTTCCGCTTCCCAAATGCTGAATTACAAGGCAATTTGGCAGTTATTACTCCCGAGATGAGAGCAAAACAATGTTGCATCATTTACCTGTCGCCTAATTGTTCCTCTTTGATATTAAATTAAGTGTAATGAAACATAAATAACAAATTTAGTGGAAATACTTAATATAAGAAGATACAGTTATTTGCTAAGCTTAGTCTGTTTCAAGACATGGACTTTAGAGTAGATGTCATTATTTGTCTCCGGACAAGAGGGAAATAGTGTGCGGCAATAAATTTGTAACTGTGGCACCAGAGCAGGTCCCTACAGAGCGAAGAATTCATGCATAGCTGAATAGAAAAGATGTCAAACAATGACAATTTCAATTAACTATTTTCAACACTGCACAACCTGTACCACAGACGGGACGTTGCAAGACTTCATACTCTATTGCAATTTCTGTTCCAGAAGTTTTGACTAGCTCTATCCCACTGCTAGTTCATAGCTGATGAAATGCTATGCTGCGCACACAGGATATAATTGGTTCCTTTCTTGTGGTTTTCTTTTGTAAGAAATTTTCCAAGCAGAGCTCCTTCACAAGAAATCCTACGACGTGTAACATACAACGCAAAAATTACACTCTTTACCGCAGGTTTAGAATAAATCTTTAACTCTCCTCTATATCATAATCCGTACAACTTGTTTATTCTTACGTCCAGCAGGCACGCAATATTAATTAATACCCTATCTTAAATGTAATTATGTTTTATAAATTTCTAGAATATTACTCGATTACGTAATGGATAGCGGCTCGGATTGAGACATCAGAGAGCCGAGTTCGAATTACGTGCTAATAAACTTGGGAAAGGTATGAAGCCTTTTCTTCTCCCTGCAGCTATTGGCAAATAGCAGGAAAGTCAGGGTTCTCTAGGCTTAGACGGTAACTGGTCTACTGCAGAAAGAAATGGCAAGCTTATGCGGGAAAGATCTGCCTTGTCCGTCATGTATCTTTCGATACATGATCATCTAGCCGTGTATCACGCATGGCACATAACTGACTGAATTTTAACTTATCAATCTTTGGCAATTTATAGCACTTAGTGTCCTCCACATGTTCTGACTGTCCTGTCAACCACATAATGAATATTCCTGAACTTTGTCAAATTTAGAAGCATAGATAAACCAGTCATGCATGCTCTTGTTTATAAAAAGTTGCAACAAAATAAATCCTAAAATTATCTTGATAAAGTCCGTCAGAGGACGAAACGCGTCGCCTAAGAATAGTTTTTTTGTTCTTGTCTGTTTATTCATTTACAGATACACTCTATCTGAAAATAATTATATATATATATATATATATATATATATATATATATATTCACACGCACACACACACAAGCAAACACACACATACGCACACACACATACACATATATATATATATATATGAGATAGATGTGTTTGTTGAATTAATTGTTTTGTGTTTTAAGGCTTATCGACATCTTGCGGCTTATTTCACGTCGAAATATATATATATATATATATATATATATATATATATATATATATATATGTTTGATTGTGGGAAGTTTTTTTTACAGTATCTCGTTTTACAAAGTTATTTGACTTTAGTAATCCAACGAGACCAGATTTTTTCATCGGTATTTAACATATATTTAGATATGTGTGAGCGGGCAGGCGCGTGCCCATTCGATAACGTTCCATGTCAAATTTCAACTGAAAGAATGATGATGTTATTTAAAAATTTACATGAAAGTAGGGTGAAAAACGCATGCAGAGGTTTTAGGGGTGGATAACGCACGCACATTCATACAAATATATATGTGTACGTCTGCATGTGGTTTAAGTATATATATATATATATATATATATATATATATATATATAAAAGTGAACATAGAAGTCAACACTTAGAGGCGACAGTCTGTTTCATACTATATGCAATCGTCAGGCCTGACGATTGCATCTAGCATGAAACAGACTGTCGCCTCTAAGTGTTGACTTCTATGTTCCCTTTACATTTAAACACGCTCTATCTCTGATATTGAGCACTTTATTCCATAAATATAGCACACCTTAAGACTATATTTCTTTATATATATATATATATATATATATATATATATATATACTTTTAATTAGTTATATTTATATCCGTGCAGTTTACACAATTTCGAGCAAAAGGCGTTCGAAGTTTTAACATTGTGGAAATAGCAATCATCACTTACTTAAGTAATCATCTGAATATATATATATATATATATATATATATATATATATATATATATATATATATATATATATTGTGTTTTACCCGTTAGTTTTGACATCTGATTTCAATTGATTCGGCGATATTTTCAGATTTATATATAAGTAAACATTCCAAAACATCTGATATTTGTTTTCATATTGGGAAGCGTTTTTTTGTTTAAACTTTCGTATTCATGGGAAAAGAGGAGAGTGGATGTTGGACGTGTACACCAATATATATATATATATATATATATATATATATATATATATATATATATATATATATATATGGGGGAGTTTGTGCGTGCGCATGTGTGTCTGTGTACATATGTGGGCCTGTGTGTATCTGTGCGGTGGGGTATGGGTTTACTGCTGGGTACGTCAGCGTTTAGTGACGTTCCACAGCTGTTGTCAATTGACTAAATGATATATTCTATATTCAAAACATTGCAAATCAGAAAACTTTCAAAAACATCTGATGGTTGTACATTTAAACAGATTTTTGAGAAATGTGTAATTCACATACACACACAGGCATAAAACACACTTGTACACACACACACATACACATACACATATATATATATATATATATATATATATATATATATATATTCTGATTCATTCGGTGCTAATTCTCGTAGTCGATGATACGTATATCTAGCGGCGAAAATGGGACTGACTTAATTTTAAACGACTGATGATCGGTTCCAGATACAAGTATGTTTTTTTCACGATTTTAATAAAATCCGGAAAAATTAAGAGGTTCTTTATATCTATCTATCTATCTATCTATCTATCTATCATACATCTATCTATCTATCTATCTATACATACATCTATCTATCTATCTATACATCTATCTATCTATCTATACGTACATCTATCTATCTATCTATACGTACATCTATCTATCTATCTATACGTACATCTATCTATCTATCTATCTATACGTACATCTATCTATCTATCTATACATACATCTATCTATCTATCTATACGTACATCTATCTATCTATCTATACGTACATCTATCTATCTATCTATACATACATCTATCTATCTATCTATACATACATCTATATATATATATAAATAAAAAGAAAGAACAGTAAGATATATAATCCGGTGTTCTTATAGATATTTTTATTTTACAAAATATTGCTCAATGTAAATTTACAGAGCATTAATATTATAAATTAATTGATTTAAAATGTTTTTCGCTATTTTAAATCAATATATATATATATATATATATATATATATATATATATATATATATATATAGAGAGAGAGAGAGAGAGAGAGAGACGCACAGGCACACAGAATGCGATGGATAAATTGTTGCTATTTTATATTTTTTATGTTACGCACGTGCATTATTTGTTTTTGTTTTTTTTTTTCAATGTTTTCGATTATGCTCTTTGATACGATGTACACCGTCTGTAAGAAAAAGAGCACCATGAGGCAATTCACTCCGACAGAAATTAGGAAACGGCATGCAGTACTACACAGCATTCGCCCAGGAATATGCAATATGCAAATTTCTGTGTGTTTGTCTTTCAATTTGAGAACAGTGCAAAGGATTCGGAAAGAGTTGGACGAGAGTAATTGTGATCGCGAAGGTGCAGTATTTCGGAAAATTCACTCTGATTATTCTGATTAGAAGAGAACTCCCAAATTTGTTAGTTGAGTACCTCAGACACGAGAGCCTACATCAAGTGACTTGAAGAGGTTGTGCTGTCCTGGGTCAAGAATGTGGCAGCTGGAAACCTTATGTCTATCAACAGGACTCTCTACCATGCCTCTCCAACAGGAGTAATTCATAGCTGTCAGACACTTTTTGCGACCACATCACCGCTTACATCTTACAGCCTAACTTCCCAGGCTGCAATCCATTTGTGTAGAGGCCAGCTGAGCGAGAGACTAACAAATCTACTTGTAACACCAAAGATGAACTGAAGGAAGTTTTATGGTATTATTCAACAATTAAACAAATTCATCGCCTAGACGAGTCGTAAAGAGAATACGAACTTATCATGAGGCTGTGGTTGAAGGCAATAGTGATTTTATTGAATAAATTTACTCTAGTATTTACATTAGTCGGACTATTGTCCTCATCTTTGTAGCCATATTTGTCACAACGTTTCGGCCGTTGTACGCTCCGGCCTTCTTCAGGTGGTTGGAGCGTACAACGGCCGAAACGTTGTGACAAATATGGCGACAAAGATGAGGACAAAGTCCGACCAATGTAAATACTATACATAATATGCAATCTCAGAAATATAGACAGACTCTAAATTCTTTTAAAATCAAGATATGTGTGTCTAATTTTGGTAAATACGTCTGTTAAAATGAGATGTCAATGTTACTTTAATTTTCGGGTAATTGAGACGACAATTTATCCATCGCAAGCTGTCTCTCTATCTCTCTCTCTCTCTCTCTCTCTATCTCTCTCACTCTCTCTCTCTCTCTCACCTTCTCTCTTTTGTTCAATTGTTCTTTTTTTTTCCTAGCGTTTTCGGCTACATATTTAAACATTTTGAGATATGTTAACGTTAACAAGAAATGGATTGTTTTTATATATGTATTTATATAATGTTTTCATTTTCAAAACATGGTCAAGATATTGTGTCCATATTCATAGTCGATATTATTGAGTGTGTTTTGTTTTTGTTTTAATTAATAAGGCTTCATTTATTTTTACACTTTCTTAACATGTAGACGATACTATTATATTTTGTTGTCCACAAATATGTATAAATACATCACATATATATATATATATATATATATATATATATATATATATATATTTGTGTGTGTGCGTGTGTACAAATAAAAAGAAAGAACAGTAAGATATATAATCCGGTGTTCTTATAGATATTTTTATTTTTACAAAATAGTGCTCAATGTAAATTTAGAGAATATTAATATTATGAATTAACTGATTTCAAATATGCTTCTTTTTGCTACACAGTTCTAACCAAAAATGGAAGCTAAAAGCTTCGAATTTAATTTTGTACTCAAATTAAAGACATTAGTTCCATTTCATCCTCAACCGAATTTTGGTTAGATCTGTATAGCGAAAAAAATCTTATTTTAAACAGTTAATTTATATATATATATATATATATGTGTGTGTATGTGCGCGCATGCGTGCGTGTATATGTATATATATATATATGTTTGTAAATTCGTTAATATGTTATGCCGAAAGGGTTTAATATCGGCGATAAAGCGTTCGTAGATAATAAAATACCGATCTACTCTCTAGTGTAAAACTTAGTTTTCCTGCGATTATCAGAAAATATGACCGTGCTTTGCGTAGTTTCTTGTATTGTTTCGTATCTTATCTCAATTGAGTGCGTAATATTTTCGCTATTCTAATACCGCTAATGTTTCACGGGGCATGCAAATATATATTTTACATTCTAAGCGATTAAAATATTGTGACACCGCTCGTGTAACCTAAATGAATTATCCATTAAACTCTCATAAGAGGGGCAACCTCATCACATATAAAGGAGAGACTGGAAGCAACAAGAATATGACTCTATAGAAATATGCTGAGGATCTCATAGACTGAACATGTGAGAAGTTCTGGGGAAGACTGAAACAAAAGAAAATTTGTACTTAACATTAGAAAATGACAATTAAAATTTTAGGGAGACGACTAGGAAAATTGGACAACCGCAAAACAGACTGAAGCCAAGATGGTGAGATGAAAACATTACATAAACCACCTAGCGAGCTTGAATAAATAGATGGTGGAACCCGGTTTAGGGCAGACAGCAAAAAAATAAAATTTATTAAGCGTACAACTTACAGTAAATAGCGGAGGGCATTGATTGTCAAGGACCTAAAAGGACACCATACATAAAACAAGAAATTTGGAAGTATTTATGTTTCGCGTAAGACATGTAATGCATTATGTGCACAGAATGTTTAATAATATTTCTTCTTCTATGTATATGGGCGGTCATGGCTCTCTATAACTCCGTATGATTAGCAGACCTTACTAATTTTTTTTTCCTTTTTTGCTATCCATCTCACTCTTTGTTCTTTTATTCATTTTTGCAAACTTGTTATGTAGATTACTCGATATTTCATTCAATTTCTCTCGACATCAGTATGTCCTGTTAATCTCAAAGTCGTCCAACCTTCTGTCCTCATTAGATATTTCAGAAATTTAAACTCTCTCATACGGAGTATAAGTGTCATTTTGTTTCAGTTTTGATTAAATCTGCATCGTTACTCAAATGTTCACCCGATGTTGTCCACATCCTTATTCAGAACAATATCTCTGATATCGAAAGTATTTTCTTCATTTCTGAAATGATTTTCCAACATTCAGTTTCTTATCAGACGACTGATATCCTATAGCAATTGAGTTGTTCTGTTCAGTGTACAATAGACCTACTAGCACTCATCTCCCTTTACCGACCCCTTTAGCTTGGGGGGCTTCTTTCTGACCCTACACCGGTTGAAGGTTCCCGGTGCTCAGCCTGTAACTAGTTTAGCTGCCCCCAGCTCGGCCTTATGCCATAGTTTTCATCCTTTAAATATCTCGTCATTCTTGGACATCTCCGGTAAGAACTATCGCCTTTCTTCCTTCTTATTATGGAATTATTTAATGCAAGCATTATGTTTTAGTATCATTTCCTTCATTAAACGAACTTTGTTTACCCTCACACCACGTGCGGAAACTCCATCTTTCCTCTCTGAACTCGACTGTTACTCAGCATAATTTGTATTCTTTTTCTTTCTATGAGTTTTTTTTTTATGTTCAAATGTTTATATTCCGTAAGCTTATCGTACCTACAACTACATTTAAGGTTTTAGTAAATACTCACCCTCATTTTGTATCTCTGTGTTTCTGAAGAAACGTGTTTTTATTTTCTTTCAGTTTTACCTTTGTCGACTATCAATAAACCTGTGTCTATAACATACCATGTCTCAGAGTCTTGATTGTCGATGAGTTTATGCTAACTGTCTAAGGGTTGTGTACATTTCAACGAAATACACGCATCCCGGAGACAGTATATGAGTTGTATATTTTTTTTCATCTTTCGCATAAAATTATCCTGTTTCTTAATAATGAAAGCTTTTGAAAGTCATAATTGAGCTCTCTTGCTGTATAACTCTCTAAATTCAAACCGTTACCCTGAAGTATAAAAAGCCATATCTTGTACAGAAAATTGCATTATACAGTGTAAGTGATCTTCTACCACCTACCCTGGATCTCAGCTGTAAGGGATGTGAAGGGCAATGCTTCGAACAGGTTCAACTTCGTTATATATATATCACTTCACGACGCTAGCGATAATAACAGTTCACAATTTTCTATTTTTTTTTTCTTTCTGTTATTTCTCCTAAACATTGTCCTGCCATTCCTCTTCTGTTATCCATTTACTTAAGCTCTTATGGATTGTGTTCCTGATCAATCAAAATCTGTAAATAATTATATTGGATACACTACAGCATGCATAGAAAGAAGCCTCAGGTTACATCCGTATAAAAATAGCTCAGTTACATCTCTTTTAAATATACATGCAGACCTACCAAACACTCTCCGTAACATACTCCTTGATAATCTCTAAAAGTATAGCCGAAAGAGCTTGGATATATAAAACATTTTGACAATTTTAATATAATTTATATCCTGAAAACAATAAAATTATAAGAACACAAGAAAAATATCTAAAAGACTTGACCACAGCATATTATCTGTCGGTCTTAATGAACCATACATAAAAGAGGGACTGTTGCACTAAAACACAATATATATATATATATATATATATATATATATATATATATATATATATATATATATATTAAGCGTTTCACCCCAAGCAAGGCGGGAAGCCACTAGGATGCAAGGGGTTACAGGAAATAGCAAGATCAGATAGGAGTGATAGAAGAAAGTATGAGGGTAGTGGATAGATCAGGGCAACTGGAGACGTCGATTGACATTACACTTGAATAGCTGGAGATTATAGCTCGCAGGGAAACAGGAGAAAGGAAGGGAGTTCCACAGGCGAGAGGTGCGAGACATGAAGCTGTTTGAGTAGAAGAGACGGCTACATTTAGGAGTTTCGACAGTGAGGGGTGAGAGCGGGATGCCAGCCTCGTAGGGCGCTGGAACTCATGACGTCTGGGAACCAGCGAATGCAGCTCCCCGGAGCAATTTCCATGAAAGTATTTGTAGAACAGACAGAGGGAGGCGAGGGCGCGTCTGTGAGAAAGTGACTGTAGACGAGACGCCAGGGCAGGGCCAACCATATTGCATATCCGCCTCTGGAGCCTATTAAGAACCCCGAGGCAAACAGAAAGGGCGCCAGCAATACTCCATGCAAGGGCGAATTGTGAATTTGTAGTGTGTGTGTGTGTGTGTGTAGCGAAACAGTCTGTCTGTCGATGAAAAATATATGCTCCTGTATAATTATTTCGGTTGAGATTTGTGGGTAAAAAGTGTGAGTTTGTAAACAGTAACTGTTAATGTTACTAATGCAATACTCTTCTATAAAACGAATCGAGTTCTCTCCGTCATTTATTGGTAGATTCTCCGATTGATGCCAATTCAGCTGGTTTTCGACTCTAGCTGTAGACAACCCGACGTCTAACAACAGTCTGTGTGTGGATGACTATATATATATATATATATATATATATATATATATATTCATGAATTATTCATACAAAAAAATTTACCAGTAAAAAAGAATTCGCTTATCACCATATTTGTACAAGAACGCACAATTGTAAAATTTAAAATCAAACTCAGTGTTGCTACTGCACGCTCCAAAAAAAATAACTCATTTCTAATAGCATTTTTCGGATACAACAATACACATATTTTCGTTGTCCTCTTATTACTGAGAGAAAAAACAAGAACAACATCTATTCCATACCTGAAGATGTCTGTAGGAACAGGCGAAAGCTTGTAGTAAAAATAAGAACTAATGCAACAGAAATTTATAAAAACAAGGATCTCTTCATTCATAACAGGTGCGGGGTTTTTGTATATTATTTGAATTGTTCGCGACGATGGATTTCTCGCCAATTAAATCATTAACCTTTGTATTTGTTTTTGTATGAATAATTCATGAATTTGTAAATTAATTGCACCTTTAAATTGAAATTAAATATATATATATATATATATATATATATATATATATATATATATATAGTGTAGTAGCATAAATTTATAAATTATTTGCAGACTGACCTTGTTCAATAATTGACTACGTTACATTATGCGCTCTCACGCTGAAACTATAAGGTTCGCTCAGCATAGATGCAGCATAAACTACAGTGAAATTTATTTTGATGTTGAACAGGGTTTGCCCTAGCAGTGAGATGTGATTGGAAAATATTAACGAGATATTATATATCAAAATTCCCCACACTGTGTAACAGCATATTTCTCCATTCCACACAATGTTTAATATCTAAAAACCTCTAAATAAATTGACATTTTTTTAAAAGTTTTCAAATAAGACGTTTAGCCATCTTGAGTTATTCTGCCAAAAACAGAGCATGTCAATTTTTTTTTGTCAGAACCACTTTCGTCCTAGCTAAGAAATGGTGAGAAGAAAAACATCTTTCAGGCATTCTGCAATGGTATCAACATTCATACTTTGGCTTCCATCTTTAAAGTCTATTCAAGAAACATGAAGATAACGGTCAATAAGTGTAAAAAAGAGGCAACATTAGAGAGGAAGATTGGATAAGGAGGTCACAACAGGTACAGGGATCATCATTTCAATTTAGAGCTAAAGAGTTCAATTAGAAAAGATCCAACTCAATTCATAAGACGTTTGGCGTGTGAGAGATGATCTTCATCTATGACAGTACAAATCCAAAGACGTGAAAATAAAATCTTACGTGAAACCTTTCAATAATTCATGAGCTTCGATCCTTAGCTACGATTAATTAATGGGAAACATGCCATTTTCGTTTATGATCGATTTCATCACGACTCTTCTGTTAAGCTTAGAGAGTAATTATAAATTTTAATTGGCCAACGTAGAGTCCAATAGTCTATAATAAACAGTATTAAACTACATTTACCGTCCTGAATGTCCGAGAAATTTTCATAGAAAATATTCGTCCTCCGACAGGCCGGCAAATGTTGTTTAATACTGTTTATTATAACCAGTGCATTTACTTAAATATTTGTATCTATAAAAAGAATGCATAAACATAAAAAATGTCTTAAAATAATTGTCGGACATTGTCCATTTCATAATATGTGACGTCATTTGCTTCATTTGGATAAGCCGTGAGCAGATATGAATGTACGTGAGAGAATCATGGAAAATTGCAGTTTAAAGACAGTAAAATCGACCTTGATAACTAAACGCTCCTTTGTGGCCCAAACGGTTGGAGCACGCCAGGCTATATGACGGTTCCGTATAGGATAAGGCTTCGATTCCTGTCGGAAGACGAATATTTGCTCTGACAATTTCTCGGACATTCAGGCCGGTAAATTTTGTTGAATCATGTTTATTATAAATAGAGCATTTACTTAAATATTTGTATCTATAAAAAGAATGTATAAGTATAAAAATGTCTTTATATATATGATTATCTGTGTGTATCATAGATGATTTATATGGAAGCATTTGGCATCCATTGATCGAGCAGTTACTGCTGATTTTGAAGCAGTTTAAATTTAGCAAATATTTCTCTGAGGACAGTATTTTAGGCGAGTCAGTTTCTCAAGTCCAGTAGATTTTAATGGTCTTCATGCAACTGTTTTTTTTTTATTTCTGGCCTTATCACATTTCTTATAACCAATTACAATGTGACGTCTTAAAATGAATATTTGATGGGTAAACGCTTCGAGAAAAGAAATATATCTATACTAAAGTTCATAAGTTTAAAGAAACCCCCAGAATTGGCCTGAGATAAACTTGACAGAAGATAGAAAAATAAAATGTAAAAGATTTCTTTGTGTCATTGAAAAAAGAATGGAATCAATTATCAAACTGATAGTTCAAGAAAAACTTGCAATGAATACCAAATATTTGTGCTGCAATAATCAAGACGATAGGAGGATATTTGACGAGATGAAAATCTTATCATAAAATGAGTTTTTTTCTTGTCATAATAAAAATTCTAATAAAAAAATCATGTCTCACTTTCATAATTTTCCTCTTATAGTGCAAAACAACTACTTTTGGTGCCAATTTAAAAAATGGCCAGGGGTCCTCTCAAACTTTTCAACTTCATATATATATATATATATATATATATATGTGTGTGTGTGTGTGTATGCGCCTATGTGTGTGTGTGTGTATGCGCCTGTGTGTGTGTATGCGCCTGTGTGTGTGTGTGTGTATGCGCCTGTGTGTGTGTGTGTGTATGCGCCTGTGTGTGTGTGTATGCGCCTGTGTGTGTGTTTGTGTGTATGCGCCTGTGTGTGTGTATGCGCCTGTGTGTGTGTGTGTATGCGCCTCTCTGTGTGTGTGTGTGTGTGTGTGTGTGTGTGTGCGCCTCTGTGTGTGTGTGTGTGTGTGTATGCGCCTCTGTGTGTGTCTGCGTATATGCCTGTGACTCTGTGTTTGTGTCTGTCTGTGTGTGTGTGACCTGGAGTAGTGAAGGTGCATCCTAATGGAGAGTTGAGCGTTTTTAATTATCATGTGTTTTTTTAGCTTGAATGATGAGGCAATCAAGGAGAGCTGGGTAAGAAATACATGAAGAGGTCTCACCGCATTCGATTATATCACAGTAAAT